CAGTCACCAACACCAACGTTTTTGTGCATGAAACAATCGGTAGATTTTGGCGGCTTCAGGATACTTTCTAGTAAGAGCTCAAGGGGTTAGGGTTAACCTTTGACCTTTATACCTTGCCGAGTCGGTTGCCATGGTAATCCGGGCATTCAATTGTGACGGCGCAATGCAACAGGAACATGTCCCTCATCGGATCGATGTTGGACTGCTCGGCATACTCTATAAGGGAAACAAAAACAAATCATTAGCAAGTGGTTAGTGGTTCGTGACCCATGATCTGAGGGTCAGGGGTTCAAATCCAGCTGCTGGTCATATGTTGTGTTGTTGGGCAAGCCACTTCACCCCACTTGCCTCTCTCCACCCAGGAATATAAATGGGTACTGACATTAGCTGGGGAGTAACCTGTGATGGACTGGCATCCTAGCCATATGTTGTGTCCTTGGGCAAGCCACTTCACCCCACTTGCCTCTCTTTACCCAGGAGTACAAGTGAGTACCGGCATTAGCTGGGGAGTAACCTGTGATGGACTGGCATCCTAGCCATATGTTGTGTCCTTGGGCAAGCCACTTCACCCCACTTGCCTCTCTTTACCCAGGAGTACAAGTGAGTACCGGCATTAGCTGGGGAGTAACCTGTGATGGACTGGCATCCTAGCCATATGTTGTGTCCTTGGGCAAGCCACTTCACCCCACTTGCCTCTCTTTACCCAGGAGTATAAATGGGTACCAGCATTAGCTGGGAGTAACCTGCCATGGACTGGCATCCCATCCAGGGGGAGTAGAAATATTCAGTCTCCTGGCCATATGTTGTGTCCTTGGGCAAGCCACTTTACCCCACTTGCCTCTCTCCACCCAGGGGTACAAGTGAGCACCAGCATTAGCTGGGGAGTAACCTGCCATGGACTAGCATCCCATCCATGGGGAGTAGAAATATCCCGTCTCCTGGTCATATGTTGTGTCCTTTGGCAAGCCACTTTACCCTACTCAGAGGAACAGAAATATTCTCAGTTGTAAGGGAACTTCTCAAAAGTCTGAACATTTGGAATGTTCCACAGGGGAACATCGCCTGTTCTAATTGGGAACATGCGTTGTTCCCACTTGGAACAGCCCGGGAACCCTAACGTCGAATTGTTTGTGTTCTTACCATCTATCTTCAGTAAGAACCTCCGACTGAAGACTAAGTTCAGCAGCTCGGCTGGATAAATGTTGAGGTAAGCCAACGACAGAAGCCCAGAGACGAGAAAAACCGGGAAGTCTTCAAACTCATCCAGGAGCTCTACCAGCCGACCAATCATCGTCTTGAAGAACTTCTCCGAGTTCTCGGGGTGGTAGTTGAGGGTGGCGAAGGACCAGAGGAATTTGGAGAGGTCTTTACATCGGCACTCGTGGGATCGCTTGAGGAGGGCGTGTGACCCCGCCCCTAACAGGGCATCGTTGTGGATGTGCAGTGTGGCGTAGGTTAGGAGTACGTGCATGATGGAGGTGATGGGATAGGTGTGGAGGTGCAGGCTGACGGAGTCTGCGACGTGGTTGAAAAGGTCTCTGTGACCAAAGTAGGCTTGGCGGAAGACCTTGACAGAAGAAGGTACACAGAAATCAAGTCATCACAAGTCAATCACAAGTCATCACAAATCAATCACAAGTCAATCACAAGTCATCACAAGTCAATCACAAGTCATCACAAGTCAAGCTCAAATCAATCACAAGTCAAGCTTAAATCAATCACAAGTCATCACAAGTCATCACAAGTCAAGCTCAAATCAATCACAAGTCGTCACAAGTCAATCACAAGTCATCAGAAGTCATCACAAGTCATCACAAGTTATCACAAGTCATTACAAGTCATCACAAGTCATCACATGTAATCACTGGTCATCAGAAGTCATCACATGTCAATCACAAGTCAGTCACAAATCCGTCACAAGTCATCACAAGTCATCACAAGTCCATCACAAGTCATCACAAGTCATCACAAGTCCATCACAAATCCATCACAAGTCCATCACAAGTCCATCACAAGTCAGTCACAAGTCCATCACAAGTCAGTAACAAATCCATCACACATCATCACACGTCATCACAAGTCATCACAAGTCATCACAAGTCATCAAAGTCATCACAAGTCATCACAAGTCATCACAAGTCCATCACAAGTCATCACAAGTCCATCACAAGTCCATCACAAGTCAATCACAAGTCATCACACGTCATCGCAAGTCATCACAAGTTATCACAAGTCATCACAAGTCATTACAAGTGCATCACAAGTCATCACAAGTCATCACAAGTCCATCACAAGTCATCACAAGTCATCATAAGTCAATCACAAGTCAGTCACAAATCCATCACAAGTCATCACAAGTCATCACAAGTCATCAAAGTCATCACAAGTCATCACAAGTCATCACAAGTCATCACAAGTCATCACAAGTCATCACAAGTAATCAAAGTCCATCACAAGTCAATCACAATTTAGTCAATCACACATCCATTACAAGACTCAGTTCCAAGTCAATCACAAGCTAATTCCCTTGGCATTTTTGCTAGGATGCAAACTCAATCCTGCAAAATGTTAAAACAGCATACAACCTCAATCCTCCAAAATCATCTGTTATTTCTTGAATGTGGTCCTTGGAGGGGTGACCATTGCCTCAATCCTGCAAAATGCTCCGACAATCACTGTCAATATGTTGAGGCAGAGCCAGTGACATCCTGGAGCAGTGCGGAGGATTTCAAGTATGATTTGGCCACAGTGCATCCTTCAAAATCAGCCACACGTTTTGGCCATATAGCCTCAATCCTGCAAAATCCTTCATTTCGCAAAGAGAATTTTGGAGGATTTGGGAATGTTTGTTACAAAGGCATTCCTTTGTAATTGTTCATCTCCTAATACTTGCGACTGGACTTGTGATGGACTCGTGATGTCCTCAACTACCTTACAATACATTGAGGACGCCTACCTTTAACATGCCAACAAGATAAAAACTGTGAATGCAATCCACCGGCTGAGATTGTATCTTCAAAGCCAGAGCACTGACAACTGAAGGTTTCAAGTTAGTCTTAGATTTGAAGAACCCTTGGCACACAGTCCCAAGCTCTGTCAATGTGAACGAGTCCAAGTGCTTCAGGACGAGATCTTGGAGTCTGTTACGTAAGCTTTCCTGGCAAAATCGGTTTTCTCCGATCAAGTACATCAGCTGGACAACTTGGTGTTTTGTCAGTTGGTCCGTCCATGGCTCAATCTGACTGAAAATGTTGGCGTTTAACGATTTGACTTTGAGACCGATGAGCCTCCACGCGTCGCAAACCAACAAGGAGGTCGGGACGTCCCAATTTGCGAATCGGCTCTCGCATTCCGACAAAAATATCGGGACGGCCGAAATCTTGGCCCGAACTTGAACCCTTGCAAATAGCACCAGAACTTTCACAAATTCGTCGGTGGGCAGATGAGGACAGCGCTCGCTGAGAAACTCAGTGAACTCAATGAATCTCGTGTCGCTCGCCAATCCTAAGAGAAACTCATCGCTACACTGGAGGAAAGTTTCTAAGAGTTGTTGTAAGTCTAGCTCGCCGATTCCAGTTTCAAGCTTAAACTGTTCCAAGAAGATTCCAACTTGCTTTGACCGGCTTTCGGAACCGATTTCTTTCCTTGCAACTTGTGGGGAGATAACAGCAGTGTCGCTGTATTCCTCAGCCTCCCTGTAAAAAAGTCTGGGCGTCAGTTTCGGATGGAAAACCTCCTTCTTAGCTCCGTCGTCCCCCAGCACCCATCCTTCTCCCAATTGTCGGAAGACGACTGGATCTAAGTGTGTCCCATAATTGATATAAGAACGCTTCCTGAATTGCTCACTATTAGAGTTTGCATTGTTTTGGTTGTCCACTTGCTCCTCGGTTCTAAAGGAAGAAATGTCGACGTGAAATAACCCGGGCTGAAATTGTTCTTCACGCCGTGAATCAGCAAGTTTACTGCTTGTAAGACTGCAGTCGCTGGTCGCAACTACCAAGTGTTGTGTATCACTGCAAAACCAGCTTTTTCTCGTGTGTAAAGCCGATAGCGTTCTACTTCGGGCAAATGGTGGTTTGCTGAAAGATAGAGGTCCACGAAGCAAACGGACAACATAGTGTGGTCGTCTCCAACTCATTCTGAAATCAACTGTCAAATATAATGAAAGTTAGATTTAGATACTGCAGTGCATGTGTAATATTAACATCGATAATCTCTTCCTAATCGAAAAAATAATCCTCCAAATGGCCTACATGTAGATCTCTGCTTGTTACTAGGCACAACATAAGCGTGATAAAATTGTAAAATAGCTATAAAATACATGTATCCTGGTCATTCCTTGATGTACTGGTTTTCGAGGGTGTAAGGATTTATTTCAAGCAAGAGAAAAACACCAACATAGTCTTTGGTTTCAATTTTTTTTGGGCTGGCGGTGGAACACGTAACGCACACACAAAAAATGAACTGGTTGTGTGGTACGAATCTGTGCGACTGCGAGTAAGTCGCTACAAGGTCAAACCTCGAAAACTTGATGCCTCGTTAACTAGAACATGTACACGAACGATACATGGACATCGCATCTGAACATGTTCTGTGCGGGATCAGGTTAATTAAGTTGCACCACCCCCCCCAAAAAAAAACTTCCACGCCCATGTCCATGACTCCTGCAATTCAAACAACCCTCCCCCTTCGCCCCCCCCCCCCCTCACAACCCCCTTCGCACCCCCCCCCCCGCACCCCCTGCCGACCCCGACACCCCCCCCCCCCCCCCCCCCCCCGGCCATGCCGATTTCCAACACACACACCCGGTCAGTTACTAGCCCTCATTCATCCTAGTACAAGTACAAGATCACCATAAATCACCTCCTTGTACCAAAAAATTTGACAAGACGACGACTTCTCAAGTCAGCGGCCACAACAAACACCAGGGCCAACACAGTGACTGTACACGTGCATTGTTCTATCTTGAAAAGTTTACAGTGTTTGTGAAGAGCGCCCTCCATAGGTGCAGTAGAGACATCACACAATACACATCACATTGGTTCGTTTTGCGCCGGAAGGTAAGCGTAAACACTCGATTTCCCGACGATTTCTACATCATTACTGGGCGTTACAAGTAGATCAAATAATGTCATATGATGTGATAAAGGTCTGCCATAAGTTTGGAACTAGTTATAATGTGCATTGTGATATTAAAAATGAAGAGTTTAAATGTGAACTAAAGTAAAGACAGTAAAGTTGAAACCGAAACACATTGCATAGAAATATTGACAGGAAGATGGGCGGGGATAGCAAGATGCCGGGGGGGGGGGGTTATCTTCGTACTTATTTTCCAATATGGGAAATTAATGTTAACTAATTTGAATGCTCTCCCTTCTTTCTTAAGAATGCTCTGTCAGGCTTATTGACTTAGGCAGTGGCAGTGATAATTTTACTTGTCATTTCCGATTTTACAGATCCAAGAACTAGATGAAACTGCCCTGATGTTTCTGACGTTTCTAGGGTTGTTTCAGCTGTTCATGATGTCGTCAGCGACTAATGGCCCATCATCAGAAGCTGACACTGACAGTGAGCAGACTCATCAGTGTGGGGAGGCGGAGCCAGGCACTAGCCGAGGGCGGGATGACGAAGAGGGCGAAAATTTGGAGGACGTAGCTGCGGACATCTATGGTATAAGGCTAGTCCGAGTAACTTGGACCCAACTTATCGCCTTTTTAACATTCGGACATGGTCTGGCGATAGCGGGGTCCAAGCTAATCCTTATATGCCGAGCAACACAATTCTGTCATTGACCCAAAAACCCAACATTGCCCAACAAAAACATCAGATTTCAGCCTCAAAATGGCCTACAGATGACTAGATATGCCCTTCCAGTTACTTTTTCAGATAGCTGCAAATAATGGACTATAGCTTCAATGTCCTTTCCAATGAACCCAAAATCCTATTTTTCCAAAAATTGGTCCAAGTGACTGGTTCCGTTCTGGGGTGTCATATTTTCCTGAAGGTTGACGTTAACCCATCCTTTGCCCTGTCCGTACATCGCTTATCCTCTTCTTTCTGTCGTCAGATTTGATCAAGGACATTCGAGACCCAGAGAAACCCAACACCTTGGAAGAACTGGAGGTCGTCTTTGAGGAAGGGGTCAAAGTTCACCCAATCAAGGGTCAGTCCGATAGGTACATCATCCGTGTAGAGTTCAAGCCAACGGTCCCGCATTGTTCACTTGCAACGTTGATCGGTAAGCCACATTTGATAACAAACTAACTTTGTTCCAATTAAATTTTTCTTGCACATCAATTTGTAACAGGCTCGGCACTGTCTATGTAAAGTAAGAGATTATGTAGTTTGAATTTCATCCTATTTTATACCTGCTTATAAAGATTGGAACAGTTGTGTGTTAGGCCAAAAAAAAAAAATAGTCGGTCTCTGGTCAGACCGAAGTTCCGGAATTGATGCGGCCACGCGTGTTTTTGGGTTTTTTTTTTTTTTTCAAGCTTGTATTGTACAGACAAGGTGGGTACTATTTTGCTTTTTTGTGTCCTCATTATACATTGGTGTCCTCCATAATTTGCCTTGGTGCCCTTTATCATTTGCCTTGGTGCAATTTCCCCATTCCTTGTTGGCTCGTACCCCCCGCCCTGCAAACAGGGCGCTGGTAAGGGCTGATAAGCTTCACAGAATCTTGTGAAGGAAGTACAGATTGACCTTCGCATGCAGCTAGCGCGCGCTACGCATGATGGGCACCAGAAGCTAGTTTGTGTGACGCGTTCTACGTCACAGGTCACGTAAATCTATCCAATGAGAGCTCAAATGACGTCAGCCCTTACCAGCGTCCTGTTTGCAGGGCGGGGGGTACGAGCGAACATTCCTGGTGCTCCTTGGTACAAAAATTTGAGGAGGCGCGGCAATAGCTGTTGTAGCTTCCGTGTTAATTTGAAGGAAAAAAAAGGTTGACGCGCATGATTAAAATCGACGCGGGCGCTGACCAGAGACCGAGTATATTTTTTTTTTTGGCCTTAGACACAATCTGAGACTTCGTCTTTTCCGTTTTGGAATGTCTTCTGCTGCTGTTTCTTTTCTGCTGGTAAATATTTTGTAAACAGTTTATATACATTGTTAGGTTTTTAAAGGTAACATACAACACCACAAACAAAACTATCAAATTATTATGAAATACCTTACTTGACAGTTAGTGAATAATAGTCTCACGCATCCTGTGAAATCATGGCACCTGGTGTGCTGTCATTTTCAAGAAAATTTGTGGAAACTTTGTATCAATTTCCAACGATGGTCTGCCAACCATCGTTGGAAAAAAAGCCTTTTTTTTTCAAATACTGTCCCCAGTTTACCAAATTTAGTTAGTCCACATTTTGTTTGCAATCGGTTACACATCCGTGAACAGGTGCAAGCCAGCTAGTCTGGTTCCCTGACCTGTCAATTCCCCGGCGTCTATAAATCTCCCTGTTTTGTCTGAGGTAGGGTCAGGGAACCAGGCTACAAGTACAGCAGTTTTTCACAAAACATTAGTGTACATTTATCAATATTTGCTAGAAAATACTAACCCCAAAATCCATCCATTTCTGAAAATTACAGCAAAAGCAATATGTTGTATACCTTAAAGGGAATGTACAACATTTGCTTTTGCTGCAATTTTCAGAAATAAATGGATTTGGAGGATTAGTATGTTATATAAAATATTGTTAAACTGACTTGTTTCATGTTTTGGGCTTGTAGATGCTGGAAAAACCAAGAAAACCTATCATGTTCTTGTAGTCTGGTTCCCTGACCCCACTTACGATGAATCGAAGCAATTAATACACTTTGGGGAATTGTAAGGTCAGAGAATCAGTCTAGCAAGCTTGTACCCCTTCACAGGTGTGTAATCAATTGCAAAGAAAAGTCAGAATAACTTAATATGAAAAATTAAGAACAGTTTTTGAAAAAAGCCAGTTTTCTGGTTTTCTTGAAAATGTCAGCCCACCAGGAGCCACAATTTTACAGGATGCTTTTAGACTGTCAGTCCCTAACAATTCAGTAAGGTATTTCGTGATAATTTGATCATTTCGCTTTTTGATGTTTGCAAATGTTGTATTTTCCCTTTAAACAGTTTCTCAGTATTTCTTATCTGTTTGCAAATGCCTTGTATAAAGTTAATTTCAAAAGCCCCTATTCATCTCATATTGAATTCTTTTATGGTTTATCCTTTGTTTCAGGTTTGTGCATTAGGGTAAAATTGGATAGGAGTCTTCCACAGAAACAAAAGGTAATGTTTTATAATAATACTGTAAAAAGGTCTTCAGTTTTTTCAAAGATTTCAGTCCGAAAGATTTTCCTTTTGGGGGTGGGGTGGGGATCGTCTGTTCTTTACTTGATCAACATGATCAAAAAGATGAAAGGTATAGTCCATCATTTGTAATTTGTGCATTTTGTTCGTTTGAGGCAACAAACGTGCTCAAAATCTAAAGAAGGGTGCTGAACAACTAACCTGATGAAGTTTCAGCTCAGTTTCAGCTGTATATTCCGAGAAAACAGCACTCTAAGATCTTGATCTCAAATCAAAAGTTGCTGAATCATGTGCTGAATTGGGCCTGAATTCAGCATCCGAGACACGTTCTTACTGAGCCGATTGCTGCTACGCTATGTCGTGCACCGGTCTGACGAATTATAGCTACCGCGCGCATGTGTGCGTCGCGTCAACGCTTGCGCGCACTTCACCGAATAAAAAAAACGAACTGCTAACGGAAATTTCCAACGGTGCATCTAAAGACGCATCGTTTTAAAGGCCTTCTTTCGTTGATTTCTTCAAAATGACAGCATGCCAGAAAGAATAATTTCACAGGGAGTTTAGTCCCCTGACTATCTTTCAACCAAGTACGTTTTTCAACAATAATTACGCCAGTTACTTTTTGGATAGCTGCAAATGATGGACTGTAGCTTTAAGAATGGTCACCTCCATTTTTGTCTTTCTCTTGCATCAGGTTGACATTTTTATCACCAAGGGAACACATGCGACAGAAAATGAAAGTAAGTATTTTGTGAAATCAACAGGCCATTATTTATATCATTTATAGCTCATCAAAGAATACATGTTTTAATTGCTCAAAGAATTTGGACCTTCAAAAATTCTTAAAGGGAATGTACAACATTTGCTTTTGCAACAATTTTCGGAAATAAATGGATTTGGAGGATTAGTATGTTAAAGCAAATACTACACCGACTTGTTTCATGTTTTGGGCGTGTAGATGCTTGAAAAATCAAGAAAACTAATCATGTTCTTGTAGTCTGGTTCCCTGACCCCACTTACGATGAAACAGAGCAATTTATAGACTTTGGGGAATTGTAAGGTCAGGGAATCAGTCTAGCAGGCTTGTACCCCTTCACAGGTGTGTGATCAATTGCAAAGAAAATGCGGAATAACTAAATTTGAAAAATTAGGTGCAGTTTTTGAAAAAAAAACAGTTTTCTCCAACCCCGACCGCCGACCAGCGTTTACAAAATACAAAATGTCAGCACACCAGGAGCTACGATTTTACAGGATGCTTTTGACTGTCGTTCCCTAACAATCCAGTAAGGTATTTCCTGATAATGTGATCATTTCGTTTTTTGATGTTTGCGAATGTTGTATCTCCCCTTTAAAAAAGGAATGTGAATTACAATGTGAAAATATTATTTCACTCCATATTTCAACTGGAATCTAGCCTGCTCCTTTTACATGTCAGAAAATCTGGTTAAAGGTATAGCCCATCATTTGTAATTTGTGCATTTTGTTCGTTTGAAGCAACAAAAGTGCTCAAGATCTAAAGAAGGGTGCTGAACAACTAACCTGATGAAGTTTCAGCTCAGCTTCAGCTGTATATTTCGAGAAAAACAACATTGTAGGATCTCGATTTCAAATCAAAAGTTGCTGAATCATGTTTTGAATTGGGCCTGAATTCATCTTCCGAGACACGTTCTCACTGAGCCAATTGCAGCTACGCGATGTCGCGCACTGATCCGACGAATTATAGCAACTGCGCGTGCATGTGCGTCGTGCCAATGCTTGCGCGCGCTTCGCCGAATAACAACTAATTTGAATTTCCTACGGTGCTAAGAAGCACCGTTGGAAAGGCCTGCTTTTGTTGATTTCTTCAAAATGACAGCTTGCCAGAAAGAATAATTTCACAGGGAGTTTAGTCCCCTTACTATCGTTCAACCAAGTATGTTTTTCAACAATAATTACGCCAGTTACTTTTTGGATAGCTGCAAATGATGGACTCTGGCTTTAACGCAATTCCACTTTTTTTCTGTAGTTAATAAACAAATCAACGACAAGGAGAGGATAGCCGCAGCTATGGAGAACCCCAACCTGAAGGAACTTGTTGAGAAGTGTGTTGCAGACAATGACACTTGAAACAACTTGTACAAGCTGTAACCCATATACTAGCCAAAGCCATAAATTATGGCTTTGTAAAACATGGACAATTTTGTCCGATAGAGGGCCAGTCTGTAGTCCTCTGTATACCTCAACAACTCACTGTTACTTGTTAGCTGGGCAGTGCTATTGTATAGGATTACCCTGTGAATGGCTCCAGCCCATTATGTACACTATAAGTTATCCTGCGAAAGCGAGTAGAACACGGAATAAAGTAGTGCGTCTGTGTCCCACATACCACAAGGGCCATGTTCAGGCAAGGACCATAGTCGACTAGTGGTTGATTTGTGACGTACCTTACGCCTGCGCACTGATAGCAACGTGCGAACGTCTCTAGTCAAACGCTGGTCAAAATGTCATCGCAAAACTTCTGGATCCTGGTTCTCTGCTAGCGTTATGAATGCGCGCGGCTATTGGTTACCAGCGATCCAACCAACCCCAGTAGGCTGGTTCCAAATAGTCGACTAGCGTAGTCAACCACCGTCGACTAGACAGAGTTCGGGCAAACGTTAGTTAACCATTGGTCAACTATAGTCCTTGCGCGAACTTGGCCAAGGCTGAAGGCCAAGTGGTATGTGGGACACAGACGCACTACATTATCCATGTTTCACGAGCGCGAGTGCGATAACGAATTTATCTTCAAGCAAACTTGACGCACAGTTCAGATGGAACTAGCACGCTTGACGCGAAGCTTTTTAGCAGTTGGAATGTCGCTAGTAACTTGAAATGGCGCAATACCCAGGGTGCGATATAGACCGTGCCACACAGTATAATATCACTCTGTTGTTACCATGGATCGACCAATCAGAATCGAGGATTTAAGTTTGCTTGAAGATAAAGATACATGAAACGACCTCAAACAAAAGCCAACTTTACTAATTTTGCTTTGTTTTGTTATGTACAGGCATTGTATGCAAGCGTAAGTTCAATCAGAACTTTTTTTCCCATTATCAAAACCGGGTAATATTTGCAAGCGATGTATCATATAAATTCCGCTAAAAGTTGGTGCTGGTTTTTTTCTTTGCGGTGCTAATAATTAATACACAACTCGGTGAGAAGCATATGCCTATATTAAATTACTAGAGCGCTGACTTGATGTACAAAGTGATGCCTGCTGGGCGCATCCATGTTTGTGCCCATAACTATGGAAAACTCAATTTTTTTGTACGGCTTTTGTACGGCTATTTGCGTATCTGCGTTTGTATTCCATGCCGGTGCGTTATCGAAGCTGATACGCTCAGAACCGATACGCACAATCAGTAAATGAGTGTTTCATTTCGCCCTGTGCAAACAACGCAAATGCGTGCGCGCATCCGCTGCACAAGATTTTCGCTGTGACGTTTTTGAACCATTATGATGAGCTTTAGTTGTTTGTGTATTTTGTACTTGAGCGTTGCATTTAGAGTACAATTCATCTGTTGCCCGGCGAAGGGCATATGAGCGTTCTGACGCGAAAATCACTTTCAAGAAAATTGCATTGAAAGGCTCCAATGTTCCCCCACCGAATTATGAATCCAATGTTCTCCAATGTGTATTATAAATCGTACAAATTTGAACTTTGTCACACATATGAATCGTAATTTTTGAAGCAACTTGTGTTTATTTCTGACGGAAATATTTAGGTGTCATCAAAATAGAGGCAGTTTTTTGCATATGCCCTTATGCTGGGAACGTTTTGGTGATTACGCGTTTGCGTATAAGGGCCGGGCGTACGCGCATATTCCCTTCTGCCAGGCATACGACGAATTTCAAAATTCGCCTGTACCAGCGTGGGCACGTGTCCATATGGTCTCGTGAGTAGGCCAAACAGCGCCAGCTACAGTTTCTGAAGGGTCGAAGATGCGTCCTAGTCGGAAGGGTGCAAAGGTTATTAGTTTAATCCATCTCTCATGACACGAAGTGTAATATTTTGCTCACGAGGTTGATTTTTTCGGTGTGAATTTTTAAGTTAAGTCTGCCTCTGTCTCATGAGGCATGTAAATAATGCACACAACATCAGTTGAAAATATATTTTATATGAAATGTTTATAACGAAATAAACAAATGCAGTTATTTTAGAGACCAAAGACAAGGTCTTTTAGAACTTAAAGCAGGACTGTTCTTATCAGAACAAAAACTACTCAGCGAAGTTGATAATAAGCAGGACAAGTTCTTTTCAGAACTAAATATCTTCTAAGCAGTAGTTGTTACCACATGGTGACACCGCAAACTGAAACGATACTGATACTCCACCATGCAAAGCCTCAAATCTTATAATTATTTTATATTCAATTATATATAACTATGTAATTTATATTAGGGCGAAATAAACTTTTGTTTCTTCTGGAAAAGTTGATATCTATAATCTTGCACTTGAATTTTTTTTTTTTCACAGCAATTTAGATTCTTTGCCAACCTAGTGTCCTCTTCGTAGATTGAAGAGAACCGGGCAGTGCTGTTGTATAGGATTACCTAATGCCAATTAGCTTAATGCCAATGAATGGTTGAAATCCGGCCCAGACCAGATGCATGAAAAGACTCCAAGTGAATCGCTGTTCTTAATCAATACGGGTGATTCCCAATACCGTTAGCCACCTTGAGGTTGCCACGGAGACTCCATTTTTCGCAGTGCATTGTGGGAGATGCTCGACACATGCCACGCTGCGGCACAGGACACTTTATAAAATTGTTAGTTTGTCCGGTTTCGTAAGCTGATTCGAGTATCTGTCATTTTATTTTTATCAAGATGGTGTTTTTGTGAGGTGGCAGAATGCTATGCCCTGATCTATCAAAAATGTCCTCATGAATGTCTCCTCACATTCGTTCAAACCGTGGCAATTCGGCAGTGTTTTTGTCGACCAAAATCTTGCAAAATGGACTCTCCCTGGAAATCTATAGGTGGCGCACTGTATTGACCTATAGGTGGCGCACTGTATTCACCTATCGCCGTTTGCGAGTTAGCCACGCCTTCGACAACCCTATGGAATTTTGTATGTTAAGTTTTATTTGTCTCAGATTTTGCGCGTTCCGCGTCCATTTGTATACATGTGATTGGACAATATTTCACAAGCTGCGTTGACGCGATTCTACCGCGATATACATGTAGGTTAATTGTGAATTGCCTGTATTGAATAAAATTGTGTGCACTCTGGGTCTAGCTTGTCTTGTATTTTAGCTGCAGGATAGCAGCTCAAATCATCACGTCTCTCCGTTAGTTAGTAACAAACGTTGACATTGTCTATTGCTCCTACATATTTTCACCGATTTCAACCAAACTTTGTCAAAAGTATCAGTAGCCCAGCCCCAACATGTCACATGACCAAACTGGGGTCAAAGGTCATCATGGGGTCACTGGGGTCAAAAACCTGATTCAAAACACTACTTCCAGAAATTAGATGGCACAATCAAGTGACTCGTGCATGAACACGAATTCGTTGGCCCGCAGCTTTCGAGATCCGAATGAGCTGTTTACAAAACATAGAGATGAGACGTGTTGTCATTTTTTGTGTTTTTCTTACAAATCATCAAAGACAATTAATGCACACATTTTCAGTCAATGAATGAAGATTTCAACTCAAACTTAGATTTATTGTTTCTACAGAAAACCATGGTACACGTATATGTATTCGCAAACTGTATGGAATAAATTTGTAATCTCCAAATTAATCAAACGGAAGGCCATTTCCACTTAGTTGTTAGGCATTTAACAGTAAACCAGTCAAAGGAATATCTTTCATATAGAAATTCAACTGGTAACCAGTAAAGCACGTTTATGGAACAAATCTCTTTGTTGAACAACTCTGTGAAATCAGCCCTTGTGATTCAAAAATAATATGAACACCAATTTTTTGTATTAGTGTAAAACCAAACCCACAACTTTTATATAATTATAATTCACACTATAATTCCGATTGTTACAAGTACGTAAAATCCTACACATGCACACAAAGAAAGAATTTTATATTCATATAGTCCTGAATATCCCTAGAACACACACAGCACACATCAGTGTTTGCAATATCTGAAAAAAAATTATCCTGAAAGATTTCCGTGCAAAGGAAAAAAAAGTTGCATTGGGCATTCAGAACTAATAATTTGTAAAAACAAGACCTGAACGTCATAAATATAGGCCAAGTTCGCGCAAGGACTATAGTTGACCAATGGTTAACTAACGTTTGCCCGAACTCTGTCTAGTCGACGGTGGTTGACTACGCTAGTCGACTATTTGGAACCAGCCTACTGGGGCTGGTTACTTCGCTGGTAACCAACAGCCGCGCGCATTCATAACGCTAGCTTGGAGCCAGGATCCAGAAGTTTTGCGATGACATTTTGACCAGCGTTTGACTAGAGACGTTCGCACGTTGCCATCAGTGCGCAGGCGTAAGGTACGTCACAAATCAACCACTAGGCGACTAATGGTCCTGCCCAAACTTGGCCGTAGTCTTACTGATAATTCGTCAGTGAGGCGAAACCATAAGAATAGCATACTGTTACAGCTTCATGTGAAATACAAAGCAGAGTGCGATTCCCCGAAGAGAATTTGATCCAGTGTTCTGAGGACTCCGTAGAGAAAAGCAGAAATGCAACACAAACAATATTTCTCGAACTCAAACAACTGATAACGATTACAAAGTGACGTATTATCCAAGTGATGTATTGATTTGCATATCGTACGTTCAGCGTGTTAGATGACTTCCCTCGCGATTACCCATACATGTACTTTTGTCTTGGGTATAAAGATGCACACACTCTTGTTTTACTATACTCTCGAGGACAATGCTTTGTATTTCCCTTTGTCCCTGTAATATAACACTCTTCCATGGACTTCCCTCGCAATTACCCATACATGTACTTTTGTCTTGTTATAAAGATGCACTCACTCTTGTTTTACTTTACTCGCGAGGACAATGCTTTGTATTTCCCTTTGTCCCTGTAATATAACACTCTTCCATGGACTTCCCTCGCGATTACCCATACATGTACTTTTGTCTTGGGTATAAAGATGCACACACTCTTGTTTAACTATACTCTTGAGGACAATGCTTTGTGTTTCTCTTTGTCCCTGTAATATAACACTCTCCCATAGACTAAGCACACAAACTTACTACAGAGGACCGTTTCCAACAAAAGACTCAACTCCCGAGGACTGAAAGGATCTGTTGTTCTCCCTTTGTGTGTCTGTCCTCGTGGGTTATGTAGAACACGTACACATGCGCAATCCTCAGCAATAAATGAACGATCTTTGTTATTTGAGGTCATGTGCTGATTAAATCTCGTTTACAAATGGATTTGAGGAGTCGAGAGCAAGCCATGGTGGCCACTTTTTGTACGTGCTCTTCCAACGTGAACAAGAAATGCCGGTTCAGACTAACTGAACTTTCCTCCCGTTGTCTGGTACTAGTGTGAAGTGAAGCTGAGACACTTTTGAATCCCCCACCATCGCAGCGTTAGATGTAGCTGCCATGTTGTCCCATTGTATTGTGGGATACTTACCCAAGTAACCGGCTCAGGGGTCGGTTACTTGGGTCAGGCTCAAGTAAGCGCGAGAAGTCACGTGAGAGTTCTATCGAACGCAGTCCTGCTGGCACGAGTAAGCGCGGAGAAGTAACCGAAAACGCTAATTTAAACAAGTTGGGATGTCATCAACCCACGTGAAAGAATCCCACATTATGGATTTTCCAATATTTCAAATATTTTAATTACGTTTATTTTGTCAGCTGTCAATCATTTTAGTTGCAAAGAAAAAAAAAACCTGACTGATATTGCAAGATACTTAGAAAGAATTAAGTAACGAGTTAAGTTGTGGTTGTATCTGAAATCAAAGTTTTTTTGTGTTCCCCATTGCATAGATCATGCATTTTAAGTTGAAGCCAATCGAATGGAACGGTCTGGTACCAAGCTGCCACCAGAGCATTGCACATGATGTCACAGTGTGGTGATGTAGGTACAGGAATTCAGGACCATCAATTCATCTTGTAATGGCACCAGTCTAGCTGAAAAACCAAATGGCAAAATGAAAATTTGAAAATGAAATTTAAATGGGACACAAAGGTGCATATTTAAGGATTGCATAAAAGAATTTTCGTTACATGGCCCTTTAAGCACTATCAAGCTGTCAATAACAAGATGAATCAAATCCAGGCTTGGGAAGTTTGGCAACAGGACCCAAGCAGTTCGGAGCATACTTCATGCATACTGTGGGGAGTGTGGCCTAGTGGTTAGGGTTTGTGACTCGTAATCAGAGGGTCAAGGGTTCAAATCCAGCTGCTGGCCATGTGTTGTGTCCTTAGGCAAGCCACTTCACCCCGCTTGCCTCTCTCCACCCAGGAGTGCAAATGGGTACCGCCTTTAGCTGGGGAGTAACCTGCGATGGACTAGCATCCCATCCAGGGGGAATAGAAATATTTTCAGTCTGCTGGCCATATATTGTGTCCTTGGGCAAGCCACTTCACCCCCACTTGCCTCTCTCCACCCAGGAGTATAAATGGGTACCGACATTAGCTGGGGAGTAGCCTGCGATGGACTGGCATCCCATCCAGGGGGAGTAGAAATATTCAATCTCCTGGCCATATGTTGTGTCCTTGGGCAAGCCACTTTACTCCACTTGCCTCTCTCCACGCAGGAGTATAAATGGGTACCAGCATTGGCTGGGGAGTAACCTGCGATGGACTAGCATCCCATCCAGGGGGAGTAGGAATATTCAAACTCCTGGCCACATGTTGTGTCCTTGGGCAAGCCACTTCAGCCCACTTGCCTCTCTTCACCCAGGAGTATAAATGGGTACCGCCATTAGCTGGGTGTAACCTGCGATGGACTGGCATCCCATCCAGGGGAAATAGAAATATTCTCAGTCATTTCATGCTACTGAAACCGGAGATAAACGCTGGCCTGATGGGCCACACTGCCTGTACTTTTTTACTCACGCATACAGCTTGAATACGAGAAGTTGTAGGAGTCCTAGTCCAAAAGTTATCAAGACAAGATTTGAGAATGGCCATAGACCTCGGGACCGGCCGAGATACCTACCTACATAATCTTGTCTTCCAGTGGTTTGTCTAGGCCGAGCTCTTCCGGAGTATTGATGCTTAACTCATCTAGGGTGGGACGGAGCTCTTGAACCATGTAGGGATAGATGTTCTTGTGACTTCCGGCCTTGTCCTAAAAAAAAAAAACAGGAACAATAAAAGAATTACTGAAGTAACCGGTATACTTATCAATGGACCATTCAAGATTTCACCATAGGCTCCGCACACTTTTAGTAAACTCCAGCTAAACGGACATCGTACAACTCGTCCAATCGCTCAAGTCGGCCGTCTGACTTAAGTCCTGATTGTCCGTAACGCATTTCCATTGAATTGCCACCCTTGGCAACAAGGCATCGTACCTTAACCGCTTCAAGGACGCGTACAGCCATGGCGCTGTCGTTCAGACGTCGGCACGCCTTCAGAGCGGCAGCAACGATCTTAGGTTCGGGGACCAAGTCATGGCCATGAAGCTCATTCAGGCCTCGTCGGAGCTCCCAGTCATCGATTTCTGGACGGTTGAAGTAGGCCTCCCACCGGGCATCAAACTGCTCGTCCGTCTCCTCCTTCTTGGATGAGTAACTCCTTGATGCAACTGTGCAGAGAAGAAAATTATGGGAAGAAAGTTAAGAAAGTATGGGACAGATGTTAATTTTTACTTTAATACCTGTCACATAGAGCATGGGGGGAAAAAGGGGGGTCAGACAAGTCGACCGTTGAGACAACTCGACTCGGGACAAGTCGCCCGTTGAGACAACTCGACCGTTGAGACAACTCGACCGTATGTGCGATAAATGGAAAGACAAGTCGACCGTTGAGACAAGTCGCCACGCATGTTTTGGGGCTTAGTTTTGGGGATAGTACCGGGGATTTTGACGGCGGCTGATCGCCGTTTGGGAGTTATGACACGTAACAGAGCAGAGCCGATATAGCGCAGCGTGATTGTCCGTGCACATCGTTCGTTTTTGCCGGGCCTGTGCGCGCATCTCCGGTCAACGGCGTGGCCGTACCGTGCACGTGCCGTGCACGTTAGCTGTCTCAACGGTCGAGTTGTCCCGAGTCGAGTTGTCTCAACGGTCGACTTGTCCCGAGTCGAGTTGTCTCAACGGTCGACTTGTCTGACATTCGGAAAAAGGTGTCACACTCGCAGTGTTCTTTTTCTTTACCCCTACATATTTGAATCGATCAAAATCCACACCCCCGTTTTGGAGGATTTCGGCGGATTGAGGATGCCTCCATATTGAACAAGTCAGGGGATTTTGATGGATTCAGGACAGTAAGTCTAGCGGTACTGCAGGATTTTGACTGATTCAGGATACCTCCACATTGAGCAGTTGGGGGACTTTGATAGATTCAGGATGTCAACTCTTTAACTTCTTGGCCACATGTTCAGTGTGTACAATGTACAAAACAATGTACTCCACTCATGGATTCTGATGGACTCACTTTTAGATTCTGATGGACTCACTGGTGGATTCTGATGGATTCACACTGGTGGATTCTGATGGACTCAGGACACCAACATTTTATTTGCATGACAAACTTGGTGGATTTTGGCGGATTCATAATAATAAATAATGGATTCATGATACTTTCTAGCAAAAGGATCAAACCCAGATCTTCCCGCTCATGAGATCCATTGCTTATCCACTAGGCCACAGGTGCTACACAACCGTTGGAGGTAATTTAATATATCTTATAATTCAGCTCTATCAGTATCAGTACTAGTACAGCGCTCTCTGTTGATAGGGTTTGCCGCTGGCAATAGGCTATACATGCTAGCCTAGGCCTATATCCACTAAAAAATAAATTCAGTGAAACAAAGCATGAATATGCACACTGCATTTACCCGACATCACTGAGCCTGAACATTAACTTGGCTGTACAGTATACACATACAAACTTATCGCGGAAATTCACCTATGCAAATTGGGGTCAACACGCCCCTCATTATGACGTCAACGTTGAGTTCGTGCTTGCGCTCATGCCATCAATTTCAGCCCGACTCGCTTCAGTTTTATGAATGAAATCATTATGCATCGGAGAGTGCACATGCCAGAAATTTACAGTAGAAAAGCTCATGATATCTGCTTTCTTTTGCCGAAGAAAGCATCAAAATCGATGACCTATTGCTTGAGTTTTGACAGTTGAAACATTTTTTAGCGGTTTTTTTTTTAGGAACCAAAACTTCTTATTTTTCGAGGGAGTCCATCTTTTTAATCCTAAATTTCTCTCTTCTCGAATTTGGTTCGGGAAAACCGGAATTAGTTCCATATAGAACAGGTTTTCAGCTTTGATATGGTGTGGCACATGTGGGTGGCCGGTCTGATACGGCGATGGCCGCGAGCAATATGCATAAAAATTGCTCGCTAAAACTGCCCAAAATTGCGAACGATAGTGAAGTAATCACGTGATATAAACACGTGTAACGTGCAGGAGATATATATAGCTCAGTGAAAGGCGGTTACGAAGATTAAAGGGATCCCGTTTGATTAAAGGGATCCCGTTTGATGAAATGTGTGTGTGTCTCTTTTTTTCTGTCCCTTTTCCCCTGTATCCCGATGCGACGGGGTTGGGCGGTGGGTTGGGGTGGGGATGGCCCGCGGGTGGGGCGGGGGAGGCCTGCAGGTGGGGTGGGGGAGGGGGAGGGGATGGGGTGGGGGCGGGGGAACAAAAACACAGTGGGTGGAATATGCACATTCTTTGGTTGAATGGCCATTGCACATATCCCAACACCTTGAGGGGCGGGGTGGGGTCCCCTGGGTGGGGGGAAAGGAACGGGAGGGGGGTACTGAGAACCAGGATAATGGAATAATTCCTGTCTTTCATTTCTTACACCTGCACCATATCAGGACCCCATGGAAGGGGAGTGCACATAAGGGGTTCCCGGTGGAGGGGGGGGGGGCGTGGGGGAGGATGCCTCGTGAGTGTAGAGGGGGGCCGGGGTTAGAGTACTCAAAACCAGGAAGCTTAAAATCCGGGGGGGGGGGGGCTCAAAAGGAGGAGGGTGGAATTTCATATTTCCTTTTCTTTTTTCGGTCCTTGCAACATATCCCGACCCTAGTGGGCGATGGGTGGTGGGGGCCCCCACCAACACAGAAATCTTGATATGCAAATTAGGTAAACAGCGCCGCTCATTATAGCATCATCATGAAATTCTTGCTTACCCGCAAAACATCCACTTCGGCCAATTTTCGGCCAGACTCCTTCAGTTTTATGAATAATATCACTGTAGGCCTACATCGGAGGATGCACCTGCCAGAAATTTACATGCTGAAAGCAACAGAATCATGTCCGCTTCCTTTTGCCGAAGACAGAGTCAAAATTGTTAAATGAAAGGGTGAGTTTTGACGATTAAAATATTGTTTTAGCGTTTTCCTTTTTGTAACTCAAACTTCGTATTGTCCAAGGGAGTCCATCTTTCAATCCTGTTTTTCTTCCTTCCAACATTTTGTTTGAGATCAAATGAATTAATTCCGAGTAGTTGAGTTTTTTAGCTGGCGAATGGTGTGGCCTAAGTGGGTGGTCGGTTTAATAGTGCGATGGTCGCGAGCAAAATGCATGGAAATTCATCACTGGAACTGCCAAAAATTGCGAATGATTTTCAAATGATCACGCCGGTTATATCCGGCCCGCCGGCACCGCGCGCGTTCTAATAAAAACCCAAGATTAATAAAATAATCGGTTACACCTCTATGTTCCGACACCCCTATGTTCCGACTGCACATATTCCTATTCCTAGCCCTAAACCCTAACCGGGAGTAACACAATCTAGGTTGTCGGAACATAGGGGTGTCGGAACATAGAGCAGTCACCAAATAATCAAGATGTTTTGTTTTCTGATAAATGATGTGACTTTATTATTGGGAATACCACTTTCTTTTTTTCCTTTTCCCTGCCCTGGATACCATATTCCGACCCTGGGGATGGGGCGGTGGGGGGGGGGGGGGGGGGGGGGCGGGCGGAGCGTGGTGTTCAAACCACGCCAAGAGGGCTGAAATTGTTTTTTCCAACAAGTGAAGTTTGTCTTTTAATTTGGTGCAATGACGTTCCCGACCAGACTTTCTTTTACTGCGATATCATGGACCGGGCCGGGGTTGAGGCGGGACCGTATCATAAGTCCGACGCCTCATAGGTCCGACGCCTCATAAGTCCGAAATTTCGGACTTATGAGGCGTCGGACTTTATTTATTCCGCCTCATAGATCCGACGCCTCATAAGTCCAACGCCTCAAAAGTCCGACAACGGAAAAACGAGTGTCGGACTTACGAGGCGTCGGAGCTATGAGGCGTCGACCTATGAGGCGTCAGATTTATTAGGCGTCGGACCTATGAGGCGTCGGACTTATGGGCCTTTATTTGGTTAGGGGATGTGATTTTGTCGGATTTATGAGGCGTCGGACTTATGAGCGGACCCCGTTGAGGCCGGGTAGGGGTTGTGGGGGCGGGGGATTTCCCAAAACAAAGAGGGTGGAATGTCCTTTATGTTCTTTTAGTTATTAATCTTAAGACGTGCTGCTCTTGGGGGGAGAGAGGTGGTGGGGCCGCATGAGTCGGGGGTGGGGGTGGGGGGGGGGGTTAAGGTACTCCAAACCAGGAGGGTTGAATATCCCGGGGAGCATCAGAAGGGGAGGGCCTGGAATTTCCCAATCTTCTTTTGTTTTCATCATCATCATCATCATCATCATCATCAGACGTCGTAGGCTACTGCCCGTTGACGCAACAACCGTCCACTTCTTCTGGGTTGTGTGACTGGTGAAGGGGTGATTTCCTTCGCTGAAGGGTCGCCGCAGTTAGTTTATCCACGCTGAGACCGCTCCATCTGGTGAGGCCGTCGATCCAGCGGAGTTTGGTCATTGCATTATATCCCGACCCTTGGAGACAGAGGGTGGGGGCCCCGACAAACTATTCACAGAAACCTTCGTATGCAACTAGGCGAACAGCTCCGCTCATGATGACGTCATTGTCAAGTTCTTGTTTCATTACGCGCATGACATCGTCTTCGGCCAATCTCACTGGGAGTCCATCTCTTCAATCCTATTTTTCTTCTTTCCAACATTTGGTTCGAATTCAAATGAATTTATTCCGAATAGTTGAGGTTTTCAGCTGTCGAATGGTGTGCCACATGTGGGTGGTCGATTTGATAGTGCGATGGTCGCGAGCAATATGCATTGGCATTTTTCGATGGAACAGCCAAAAATTGCAAATGATTTTCAATAATTGATCACGCCATCACCGCTTGCGTTCTAATAAAAAAAACAAAATTAATCTAAAAAGCAAGATGTTTTGTTTTCTGATGAATGATGCACCTTCATTACATTATTGGGAGTAGGCCTACCCCTTTCATTTCATTTCCCCTGTCCTGGATATCATATTCAGACCCCCGGGTGTGGCGGGGGCGGGGTGTGCGGTTCAAGCCATGCCAAGAAAGCTGAAATTATTTTCTTTTCCAACAGTGATTTTTGTCTTTTTACGGTGGTGGTGCAATTACGTTCCCGGCCAGACTTTCTTTTTTACTGCGAGACTGGGTTGGGGTGGGGGTTGAGGCCGGGTAGGGGTTGTTGGGGGTCGGGGGATTTTCTTCCAGTGATTCTAAGTTCCAAATCTGCATGCCCAGTGGGTGGGTATGGGAGCGGGCAGGGCTGGTGGATTTACCAAACAAAGGATTGCATATTCTTCAAGTAATTTTATTCAGACTTGCTTGCCCGTGGGTGGAGGGGGGGGGGGACGGGTTGGATTTCCCAAAACAAAGAGGATGGCATATCATTCCTGGGAGAGAGAGGGGGAGAGAGAGGTGGAGGGGTTATAGTACTCCGAACCAGGAGGGTTGAATATCCCCGGGAGAGCCGCAGATTGGGAGGGCCTGGAATTTCTCAATCTTCTTTTGATTTGGTCCTTGCATTATAATCCCGATCCTTGGGGCAGAGGGTGGGGGCCACGACAAACTATTCACAGAAACCTTCGTATGCAAATTAGGTGAACAGCGCCGAATTTTATGACGCAATCGTCAAATTCTTGCTTTAAAATACGCGCATGACATCGTCGTCGATCAATTTCGGCCACTCTCGCTAGGAGTAGGAGTCCATCTCTTCAATCCCGTTTGTCTTCTTTCCAGTATTTGGTTCAAATTCAAATGAATTTATTTCGAATAGTTGAGGATTTTAGCTGTCGAATGGTGTGCCACATGTGGGTGGTCGGTTTGATTGTGCGATGGTCGCGAGCAATATGCATGGACATTTTTCGAAGGAAATGCCAAAAATTGCGAATGATCAGTTAGTCTGCATACAGTATACACGTACGTACGTGCAGCAGAGCAGGGGATCTACCCGATGTTCCCCAATACCGATGTTCCCCCAAATCCATAGGATTAGGGTTAGGGTTAGGGTTATATTGGTAAGGATTTCGAGGAACATCGGTATTAGGGAACATCGGAATTGGGGAACATAGACATGCACCCGTGCAGGAGCTATGGAAGAAGCGTTACAAAGCAAGGATTCCGTTTGTTGATGGCCTTTTTTTTCGTCCCTTACTATCCCAAAGCGACGGGACGGGGTTGAGTGGGTGGGGTGAGGGAGGCCCGCGGGTTGGAGTGCAGGTTGGAAGGGTGGGGAGATAGGGGGCGGTGCACCGGGAACACTCCATGCACATTTTTTATTGACCCTTTTGGCCTTGCCAATTATCCCGACCCCTTGGGGCGGGGCGGGGATAAAATTTCCTTTGTTCCTAATTTTTCCTTTTTTCCGTGCACCATTATCCAGACCCCGGGGAAGGGGGCGTTAGGGACGGGGGGAGGGGCGAATGGGGGATGGGGGCAAATGGGGGATGGGGCCGCGTCCCCACTTCTACGCCTGTGCAATTTAAGTGTGGGTGTGTGTGTGTGTGGGGGGGGGGGGGGAGTTTAGAGTACTCCGAATCAGGAGGTTGGAATATCATGGTTTTTTTATTCACCCTTTGCGCTGTCCCGTGGCGCGGAATGGAATATGGGGTGAAAATATCTTATTTTCATGCAATGATGTTTTTGGGGTTTTTTTGGGGGGGGGGGCTTTATACGAAAACTTAAAAACAGTAATCATGAAAAATATAAAATTTAATAAAAATGCAAATTGCAGAAACGAATATCTCATATCTATTTTGTGAAAATGTTGTGGCTCTGAAAAGAGCCGTTTTGGTTTTAGTTTGTTGATTCGATGATTTCTTCGAAGGCTTGGCCGACACTTTCTTCTGCTTGCTCGATGTGTTCTTGCTGGCTGGCTTCTTGGCTGGCTTCTTGGCTGGCTTGGCTGGCTTGGCTGACAGATGTATATTTGACTTGGATGGCGTTTTCTTGGCAGGTTTCTTGGGTGACTTCTTCGGCGCGGGTTTCTTGACTTTATTCACCATTTTGGCTTGCTTGGCTTTTCTGCAATCTTGGCTTTCATTTCCCGTTCCTTCTTGGCCTTGATTCTCTCCTTCTCCTTAGCTACATTAGCCTTGGCCGGCAGCCTTCTCTTTCTCCTCGGTGGTGTCAAACTTGAACGTACCAGCGGCTCCCTTACCTGCCATCCGAGTGAGCCTCCAACTTCATTGATTCATGTTTTATTATTTAAAAGTTTACTCTAGCATGGCTTATTACACAGAAATTCTTAGGGTGGATTATCTGGATCCGCACGTCCGTACCCCCGTGGGCGTACCAAGCACCTCCCGCATGCAAAAAAAAAATATCTTTTTTCGCCTCTTTGGCCGACGTTCTGACTTGGTGGGTCCTTTTTCCGCAAGTTCAGAATATTTTCTCTAAAAATTGGAGCAAAGTACATGTATTTGAAATGCCTTCCTTTGTCAGAAACCAACAAAATAGAAACTGCATTCTCATGTTTAGACGATACACAATGACATCAGAGGAGAATAACAATCAGTACTGTCGAACTATTCGCTCACAAGATGCCTTTGATCACTAGTTCTCCATAATTATTTAGAGTATTTTGTATTCGGAGTATTCATCATTTTCCATCGTTTCTGACCTTTCAATAACATTGGACTTAAAGGGAAATCTTAAGGGCTCCGCTAAGCCTCATATAATTATGTCAGACGCATATAGGCCCCAAGTCCGGCAAAATCTAATATAAGGCCCATAACTGTTATAAAATTCCGACGCCTAGGTCCGACACCTCATCAGTCCGACGCCTAATAATTTGGAAATTTCGGACTTCCGAGGCGTGGCGGGGGTCCAGGTTTATCATCGGAGGAGTCGGACTTGCGATATATAGGCCTAAGGCCCCAACCTTGATAGTATAGCCTCCCATGCAGCTACGGAACAACTCGAAATTTGGTTAATCAGGGTATATATATTGTTTTATTTCGTAGTACTATGCAGTTTTCTTTGACCATGGAGGGATGGTTTGACTTTCAGGTTTTGAGTTATCAGTGTTGACTTTATCCAGATTTCGCTTATTCCAATTTGTCAGCGTTTTCACGAAGGGGTGAATTTGCCGCAATAGGTGTTGGGGTTTAACGGTTAGGGTTAGGTTTGGGGAACAGGTATAACATAATGCACCCGTTGAACTTGCAGTGGTTGTCAGAAAAGAGGTTTTAAGTTGGTCACGATTTGGAATAAACATTTCGCATACTACTGACTAACTTTTGAAACACAGATGAAACTTCAAAGATGTACCAATTACAGAATAATGGAACAACAATTGCGAGGTACCGGTATCGTAACTAATCCCCATAGATGTTTGTCTGGTCGTGAAAACTAAATCCCACACACTTGTTGTTTTGGCAAATAACCGATACCCATTCCCCACCCTTTGCACGAATTTGTCTCTTCGTAAAAAATCAAAAGACATTCAGGTGAAGGTTTCTCAACATTGATTTGATTGTTATGATTTCGTTGATTTTATCTGATTTTGACCCAGACTTCTTTCCAAAAAATGTTCGTTGCGTGCAATTTCAGCCGGAACAAGAATTTTGAAAAAAGGTATGATTTTTGGATTGATAATTTAGTCCCTCCGTAAAAACGCTGAAAACCTTTTGCAATTTGATTCAAAAATTTCAAAACTATTTTTTAAAAGACTTGTCATGCTTACTGCTTACTGCTTACTTACTCTGATTCGATTTTTAAAGAACGGGTTTTTGACTATGTATTAGCCTGGGGGAGATTATAATCTGGATTGTTTGTTTTGCGTCTGTTCTTTGACGACTCTTCGGAATTGCCCCCATGATCTACCCCTTTCGTGAAGTTGGCATCAAGTGTATTTCCTTTTATTTTCATGCCTTTGTTGTTATAACTTCTCGACATTATTGACAAGTGGTGAACATTCATATTCGTACTTGTATTAGTCATCTAAGTTAAAAACAAACACATTCTTGTCCTGGTGTAAATCAAAGAGTAAAAACAGTAAAAACAGCATGCAAGAACTGACAATAGTAAAACTTACACTTAAATTAACCTATGAATAAAACATACCTGTAAAACACAATAATTTTTAAAATGATAACATAAAGACTGATAGCAAAAAGACACGATGCCTATCCGCCCTGGGCTAGCACTATGACAATGAAATATAACTTTAAAAATATGCCGGGGAAAAAAGGATAAAGAACTTTAAAAATGTTTTTTTTTCCATCGTCGTAAAATACTAAAAACCACAGGTGCAGATTTTGAATAGTTATTAAACTTAAATAAAGTTATTTTGTACTGTGTTTTCCAGTGGCTAATTCACAACAAATGATGTAGAGATCTAAACGGTCTTTCATATTTGCTGTATTATTATGTAACTTTGAATATACATGTAATCCCAAATTGCATTTTGGTCAAAAATAAAATGAAGCAAGCTTCGAGTCGAACTCCGATTTGAAAAAAAATTGACTTGAAGCTCGCCGATCCCCTGGATCATCCAATACATGTACATACACGTATACGTATTTGTATGCAGGATGTATGCATAGTGCTTGGCCGTGGCGTGGGAACGTATCAGATTACATATCGGCCGACCGCAATATCGATCGGTTCAAAAATAGATGGTCCGCGCGGGAATTGACCTGGATTGACCCGCAAACGTTCGGGTTGTCTGTGACGTAGGCAAGTCACCGACATATTTTTCTAAAAATGACTGCAAGTGCGCAGGCGTGCAAATTCCCGCACGATGCATAGGCCAAGTTCGTATGTGCAGTATAGTACACACACATTGATTGTCAACAATTTGTAGTCTGCATCAAACATCTCTATTCCCATTCAAATGCATGTGTGGTTCAAATCAAGCATGTCAAGTGCCGTGGAAAGTTCACTCGATAAGCTTGACTTCTTCATCATTCATGTTCTTGCGCGCGACAAATCCACTCCATTTGAACAAATTTTATTACACAAAAAATCTCAAAATTACTAACCAACAGGTCGACTACAAGCCTGAAGACTAATCACCGTTCTTGTCTTGCTCACAACACTCGATATTACTCGTCGATACATTGTGGTTTTTGGTGTGTAGAAATTACGTGCAAAACGCTGGAAAATCCACACAACCGGCGAATTCACTTGCGGTGACCTTTGAACCTGGCCGGCCGGCGCGGCCGGCTCGAGGTAGCCGCGGATTTGGCCAGATTACTGCTGCGTATTCAGCCGCGGGTTCAGCCGCGCATTCACAAAAATTTAGAAATAAATGTATAATACATGCGGCAAAAGGTGATCTATTTTCAAGAAAGATAACTCCATTTTATTCAACGAATTTTCCATAACAATACTTTTTTTCACGCCATATATAAACAAAAATGACATCAGCAACCTTTTTTATCCACTATTTAAAAAAAATTTGATCAAATAATTACCATTGAACTAGCTGCATAATGGGAATCATGCAGTGGCGTAGCCAGGAATTTTTCAGTGGGGGGGGGGGGGGGGGGGGGGGGCGCTGGGGGGGGGGGGGGCTGGAACATTTCATGGGGGGGACGTCAAGCAGGGGCGTCAATCGCTTCTCAAAAGTGGGGGGGGGGACATACCTTGATCATAACTGATGCAAGCGCGAAGCGCGAAGCCCTTACGGCGTGGGGTTCGGGGCCCGCTTAAGGGCCCCGAAAAAAATTGGATTCTAGATGTTCTGTGGTGTGATTTGAAGCAATTTCTTACGACTTTCCTCCATGCTTTAACTAATATTTTCTTGGCAAACGATAATTATTTGAACATCGTTTTCGAGGTTGGAGACATTGAATCAGCTATCGGTATTCTGAGCTATTGGCGTGGGGTTCGGGGCCCGCTTAAGGGCCCCGAAAAAAAAAAATGGATTTTCGATGCTCTGTGGTGTGATCTGAGGCAATTTCTTACCACTTTAACCAATAATTATCTTAGCACAAAAGATAATAATTTAAACATAATTTTCGAGGTTTTCTCAGCTAAAGGCATAAGAAAATTTTGTGAACATTGTTTTCGAGGTTGGAGTCATTGAATCAGCTACCAGAATTCTGAGCTATAGGCGTGGGGTTCGGGGCCCGCTTAAGGGCCCCGAAAAAATTTGGATTCTCGAAATGCTCTGTGGTGCTATCTGAGGCAATTTCTGACCACTTTAACCAATATTTTCTAAGCAAAAGATACATTGTAGTACATAATAGGGCCCATGGTCGCCCCCCACGCCCCCCGGTGGCTACGCCACTGGAATCATGACATTTCGCGTTATTTTTTCAACGCGCTTTTGGAGACATTTGAAAGTAAACGCATCATTTGAAACAAAGTGTAATCACACGTAATATCAAAATTCACAGTGTTGTCAAAAACTCACAATTTTATGTCGTAATCTACGAGACCATGTTACTAGGCACACTTAATTTTGGTATTGGCTTCAGCCGAACACTAATTAGTATCCAATTAGCCCGTGAAAGTAACATATTGTAACGAACCGTTGCGGTCAAGGACTTAAACTCACGCGAGTGGGCTAGCTTGGCTGAACAATCTTGGGAGAATTACAGAACTAAACTAAAGGCCGGGGAATTGGACTCAAAGAAAGGAATAAACAAGGAGACGGGTTGATGATTCACTGATCAAAGTTTCTGGTCATGTTCCATCCACAACTAAACTGTTTTAGAACTAGGTAATAACTTACACACTATAACGAGAATAAGGAAAAGGCGATGAAGTTGACTGTAACGTATAAAAATGTTGATGCTGCTTCCCCGACGGCCAAACTCAAACTGCCAAATTTTAGGCGGGAGCCTAATATTTGGCCAAATTGCAGTATGTGCGCGCAAGGTCCCTGGGGATCCAGGGCACGGCACGCACGACGCACTACGCACTACGCGATGCTGCTCGACCAACTCACGCGCTGGACAGCGCCCTCAGTGGCCAAACCGTCACACTACCCCCTCCTTTAAAGGAGATGTGACCCCACATCGCCATTATACACAAACATACAATCAAATGTGAACCAACGCCGATACTTACAGTTGTAAAATTTCTCTGAGACAAACCAAAGTCTCGGTCACTCATTTTTTTTTTCTTTTTTTTCTTAAATTTGAAAAATGCTTCAATTTAAATAAACAATTTAGATAACAAAAGTTGTCGTTCGATTTCCAACATATCGAAAGATTCGCCCTGCTGTTGTAAAATCAACATTTTGCTCCCTCAGTACGACAAAATCAATTTCCAAATTCTTGAACAGTATACAACTTTAAAAACATTAAACACCTGTAAGCAAAAACATTTACTATAAAGTCAATTGAAATATGACAAAATTGTTGATCCTCAAAAACATGTTAAATAAAACAACCATTTTATTCTAATTCAATTAAAAACATAACAACGTTGCCCTATTCTTGTATAAATTTCTCTCGCACGACCCGGGCCGTTACTCTTCCTGCCTCGTCCAGCAGCTCCTGAATGGTCCGCTGGACGACTCGGTGATATCCGGTTCCGCTGCGGGCGTCAGTCTGCGTGCCGATGCTGTGTCTGGATACTTGCTCTGCAACCTGGATCATTGGCTGCGCGGCTTCCTGCGGCACGGGAACAGGGGATGGCGAAAAGGAGGCTCCCATCACCCTCCTCTCCACACTACCGGCATGGAGGCTAATCCTGTCTTCCGGCGGGGCTTCCCTGCCAGGAGTGCGAGGTACCATCACCTCCTCATGGGCGACCGACGGGGTGACTTCCTGATGCGCCATCCTGAGATGGCGGTCCAAATCGTGCTTCCTCGTGAAGCTCAAGGAACAATTGGAGTAGGGGCACTTAAAACGCTCCCTTGGGCCGTGCTGGTCTGCTAGGTGTCGTCGTAGGCTGTTTTGATTAGTAAACTGCCGCTGGCACTCCCAACACTCGAACCGTCTGGTGATAGGGCTCCGACTTCTAGTCCGACCCATCCTTGGCCTGAGGCACACAAAAACAAAACAAAAAGGAGATAGCAACATTAACTATATACACCACTCCCCAAATCTGTCGGGGGGTTTTCGTTTCCGTCGGGGGTGGACAGAAGAGTAATCCTGCTTGTCTTTTGTGCTGTTATGGGGTGGCCCATTCTCATCAGGCTCTTTTGGTAAGGTTAGATCATCGGGTTCCATATGCTCATGTGGTTCAGTTTCCCCATCGTACTCAAGGTTTTCACGTGGTTCAGTTTCGATTTCACCACCGTGCTCAATGTTTTCATGTGGTTCACTTCCACAATCGTGTTCCATGTTTTCACGTGGTTCACTTTCGTCCCCAGGAAGACTAAACCATGACCGGTCGACTTCCCCGTGAAAAGGTTTCAGTAAATTGGTGTGAACGACTTTAGGTTTGTGTCGGGGACTCTTTTGAATTCTGACTACTACATCGGTTAGCTTCTTAATGATGAGGTAAGGTCCATCATATTTCGGTTGCAATTTCGGGGACACTCCTATTCGCTTTGCAATGACCCTCATCATTACTGCTCCGCCTATTCCGTAATTATCATCTGTTGTCTTTTTGTCATAATGACGACGTTGGTAACAAGCGGATTGTTTTAGGTTCTCTCTCGCTGTGTCATGAGCTACTTCCATGCCTCTTTCTAGCTCCGAGACATAGTCCAGTACATTCGACAATTCTCTAGGGGCCGCTACCCCATAGATTAAGTCGACGGGAAGTTCTACCTCCCTACCAAACATTAACAAATTTGGTGTCACACCGGTGCTCTCATGTGGAGATGCCCGGTAAGCCATCATGACAGTTGGAACGTGCACGTCCCAATCTTTCTGGTTCTGTGAAGTATACGACGATAGCATTACTTTGAGAGTCCTGTTAAACCTTTCCACCTGTCCATCACTTTGCGGGTGATACGGTGTTGTTCTTGTCTTTTCAATCCCCACAAGAGCGCATGTTTTCTGGAAAAGCTCGCTTTCGAATTGTCTTCCCTGATCACTGTGCAAAACCCTCGGCACACCAAAACGGCAGATGAATTCTTTGACTAACACGTCTGCAATGACGTCCGCTGTAATAGAGGCCACTGGAAAGGCTTCCGTCCATTTCGTGAAATAGTCTGTTATGACTACAATATACCTGTTTCCAGCTTCGGTTTCAGGGAACGGACCAGTGATGTCAATAGCCACTCTTTCCATTGGTACTCCAGAAATCTGTTGTTTTAGCGGTGCCCGTCTTGTTTTAGTTGGCATCTTCTGCTTGGCACACTCTAGACATTGCCTGACCCAATCCCGAACAGAATTTCTCATTCCTTGCCAGTAAAATCGGCATCTTGCCTTCTCATATAGCTTCTTAATTCCAAGGTGACCTCCAGTAGGAGAGTCGTGTAAACTTCGAAGTACTTCTCCCTGCAAAACCCGAGGAATCACTGGTAGGAAATTGATCTCCTTCCTTGTGTCGTCTTCCCATTTCCGACACAACACTCCTTCTCTGAGGGATAGTTGTCTCCAAGCCCCCCACAATGTTTTCAACCAAGGACCTTCCGCTGATACTTCTTCCCAAGCCGGTCTTTCATTTGTTGTTTCCAGCCAGTTGATTACTTTTTGTAAAACGGGTTCTTCTAACTGTTTATTTCGCAGATTTGATGCGGACATGCCCTCAAGCCAATTGGGCGCTAAACCCAACGCTGCTTGACAATTCGCCACACGTCTTATGGCATGCTCATCATGCTGCTCAGCTTCGAATTCCTCCTCTGAATTAACTGCTTCTTGGCAATCTGGGTCGATGGGCAAACTTGCCAGTTTAATGTCCGTTAGAACAGAGCTGTTCTCTTGTTTCCATGGATACTGACACTGATTGCATGGCATCCTCGACATTGCATCTGCACTGTTGTGTTGACGGCCCGGACGATGCTCTATGGTGAAGTTATATTCTGCCAGGAGTTGCAACCACCTTGCTACCTGTCCTACTGGTTCTTTAAAATTAAACAACCATCTAAGAGCCCCGTGGTCTGTCCTCAACAAGAACCGCTGCCCATATAGGTATGGACGAAAATACTTCACAAAATACACTACCGCTAACATCTCCTTACGAGTCACGCAGTAATTCCTCTCTGCTTTTGATAGGGCCCTACTTGCATACGCTATTACACGCTCCTCACCATCCTGTCGTTGGGACAATACAGCACCAATCCCGTAATCACTTGCGTCTGTATCTATTGTGAACAT